TTTAAAAAACTATTGAATTTGAGATTAAAAACACTTAAGACCTAGCCCCGGAGCATCGCCCGGGTCTAAGAGCTAGTCTAAAAATTAAAAAGATAATGTAATTATACGTATCAGGAGTGACTATAGCAAGATCTGACTGTATTATATAAAATCTCATTTCTGTAAAGTTTTACCATGTATAATAAATAATAATTTTGGTTGTAAAAATTTTTATTAGATATATTTTTAGTATATATCATTATGTAAAAATTTTTTTTGATTATTAAATTCATATAAACAGTACAATATCCTTAAAACATTAAAACGGAAGTGTTTTAGTAATACAAGCACGGAAAATGCAACATAAAACTAAATATGTACGTACTTACGTGAACTTACGGTCAGAAAGTTAGGGTTTGAAATTATAGGGACAAATTATTGCTTTCTATATGTGTAATTTCATTCCCATCATTTTTAACTAATGCCCAAAGGCAGATTTAAGCATTCGTTTTCTTGCATTTTCACCTCCTTTCTCTTACCTTTCTCTATGCACGTGTCGGGCTGGTCCGCAATTTTACGTTCTCCGATTGGTTAATTGCCCTTTTTGAGCTTGCATAACATCATAATTTACAGGTTATTCCATTTGCATTTGCATGCAATTGCATGCGGAAAATAATCCGTCTTTTATTATCCGAATTAGTAAATTCGGGTTATCCCCGATTGTTCGGAGAAATTTACTTATTCGTTACAAAACCTAAAAAGGAAATTTAGTATAAGGTAGTACGTGCGCACAAAATATCACTTGTTGTACGTAAAACTATATTGCCGTCATTTTTTAGGACTCTTTGCCGGATTTTATATTCCATTTCTTTTCTAATTTTAGGATTCGAAGTAAGTAGAGCCTCATTAGTATAAATTCTTAAATTTGATTGGTTCAAAGAATTTTTTAGCCAATCAAATTTCTTAATTTTGTAAAATGTTGACTACTGTTAACTATTTTTCAAATATGACCTTTGTTGGTATTGTTCAGAGTCCTCTCTACTCTAGTTCACTAATTCACTGATTCACTTAACTTTTAGCTTGAACTTAAAATCGCATCATATGATTGTTTTGTTTTTCGTTAATCCTTTACGACAGTTTCAATTGATTTTTAATTGACAATGTAACATTTTACTACGCTGATTTGTTTAACATACATACCTTTATCTATCAGTTTATTATTAGTTTAAATCATGCGTTGAGACGGTTTTCTAATATTAACTATACCAAATTTGTGTAAAAAAGGATAAGAAGCCAAAACTCTGAAGAAAAATATTTGAGCAAGTTTGATCAATGATTATTGGAATTGTAATGCTCTTCTACCGTATGTACCTATGTAAGTGATACTTGGATCAATTGCAAACAATAATAACAAAATTCACAGTCTGAGGCGCAATATTATAAAAATAAATTTTATTAAGGATTTGCGAGCTTGTCATTATAAACGAATGAATTTATTTGTGGTCTTGAGAACGTACGTACGCACATACGAAATAATTTTTTAAGCGACAAATTTGGACAAATGTCGGATCTCTGCGTTGTGATCAAATCTATTTTTATCGATTATCAGCTTCTGTAGTACCATTCATCATTAAGAAATTTTTGTTACGGTAAAATGAAATTCAGAAAATAATAAATATATAAAAATGGCTCGTGGGTTCCATGTCAGAATTTTTCAGAGTATTCAACCAGTTAACAATGTGCGATACTGCAAATACTGTTCCAAATTCACCATCTATAGAAACACCTCCTAAAGCGTTGCCTGATTCGGAATCGTTTCCAACAATTAGACCTCCATTCCCACCAGTTATCAATGTTGAAGATTTAATTTCACTTAGAGAATCCTCAGATGGTACTCAAATGTTTCCATCTCGAGCTCCAAATGCATTCATAATTTACAGGAAACAATTTGTAAAAGCAGCGCGAGATAATGGTTATTTCCTACCTATGACAGTAATTTCATCATTATGTTCTCGAGCTTGGGAGAATGAAGATGAAGTTGTTAAACTGACATATAAAAAAATTGCGAGGGAGACTTACGTTAAAAGAAAAGAAATGTATCCAAAAGCATCTAAAAGAAAAAGAAAAAAAGATCTTTGGAACATTGTTCAATTTAAACCAAAATCAATGCCTGATGCTACTAATAATGAATTATTAAAAACAGAACCAGATCTCTTTTACTCAAATCCTGGACACATCAGCGGCAGCAGTGATATAAATCAATCTTTTTATAACTCTATTGAATATAAACACGAACCTTTAGAATTCATGCAATTTAGTAACAATTATTATGACTTTCCATATGCATTATCATATCAAAATATACAAGATACGCCGTCTTTCGAGCCAGCAACTTTTGAAAATGTAAATATCGATTCAAATAACTATTACATTTTCTTACCTGACAACGCGATTTTTTGTACTTCGAATATGTTAGCCCCACAATAGTGAAGTTGATAATTTGCTCTAATGGTCCAATGATCAAGTATTCATTGGCTTTTTCAAATAGATATGGCATTTTTTCATTGACATTTGTTTATTTATTATCCATCTTGTATTTATTTTGTACATATATTCATTATTCTTTGTTCAATTTGTATAAATATTGATTAAAGAAATAGATTCTATTTTTATTTTTTATTGTTCTAATTTTAGTATATGTTACAAACATTTCTAAATTAGAAAATTCGCGAAGTTTACCACGTGCGCATTGATTTATATAAATTGTGACGGCTGATGCTGAAGTTTGGCTGATGTTGAAGCTAAAAAATCTGATTGGTTAGGGTTAGGGTGATCTGCAAAATTTAGCCAATCAGATTTTTTAGCTTCAACATCAGCCAAACTTCAGCATCAGCCGTAACATAAATTAAGCAAGAACTTTTGTGTGCATATTCTAGAATTCGTGTAACTGACATTCTATCTTACTAAGTTTATAGTATACAATAAACATATATATTTATCATATTTGGGTACAATCTCATTCGAATACGTTGCATTTTATTTTGATGACTGTTCTCATGGCACACACGTTGGTGCGTGCTTAAATAAACATGCATTAACTATTTTTTCAAGTCTTCCGTTCGCCGTGTAACGTAATTTGATAACTATATAATTCATCTAACGCTAATCTATCAATTGTGTTAAAATCGTTAAAAATAGTAAACCTTTACATTCTAGTACTTATTCTCAATTTTTGCGATCCAATCAAACTCGGATTACTCGGATTATCCGCGAGTGTCGGTAAAATGGAAATCCAATGTTCTCTTTTTGTTTAGTATTTTTATTTTTATATTTATCTTTGTTATTTCTAATTTTACTTATGCCGAAACTATGCAAGAATAAATTTACTCTATCTAATTGTTAGTTTAGATAATACATTGTATTATTATCAATCATTATATGATCGTTCAAAAAATTTATATAATAAAAAAATCATTGTACAAAAAATTTTGGGGCATGCCTTTAAATCTGAAAAACCAGAGGTATCCTAGGGGACATGCCTAAAAATTTTGCCGTGCCCCCTACCCCATTGATAGCTGATAGGTTTTATCAATTTACTTGACAACGTAACGGGTGTCGTAAATTACTTTATCTTATGCGAAGGTCTAGCTTTAAGATTAATTTTGCCCTGCATTACCTTAAATTACAATATAAAATAAATTTTTCTATATTATAAATTATTTCTTAAAATGCGCACCATCAGATCTTCACGTGATTTCTCATCTTATCGCTTAGTAATCAAATTTTATTTTTTTGTTCGATATTATAATTAATTAGTAAGCATTAAGGTTGAGCTCTTTTTGCTTGCGCACAAAGTATTATGCAGATTCTAATTATAAGAAATTTATCGGTAAATTAAATACAAAAAGTTGCTGTTATTTTTAAAATATTATTTTTAAAATATTATAAAGTATTATTTTAAAAAAGTTATTTTAAAATATATTAAAAGTATATTATTAATATTTTTTTATAATGAGTTTATAATGCTATATCAGTCACCCGATATGTCACATGTAAAATTTTATTATGAGGTCAAATGATCGATGCACCTAAATTTTATATGTAAAATTTAGGCAAATTTGCTTTCTAGGTATATTTAATAATAAAGGAGCCATTGGTTTAATTTCTGGGAAGCATTTTTTTTATTCTCTTGCATTTGAAGAATCTTCTTATGAAATTTGAAGAGTGGTTAAAAATAAGGTTAAAAAACATCATTGTCACAAAGTTGACCAATTTTTTTTACAATTTTTACTATTTGTTTATGTGATAATAATTAATATATATTATTTATTCAAAATAGACAATAAGGAAACATCAATTAAATAAATTTTTTAGATGTTCCCTTATTGTCTATTTTAGGTAAATAATATACATCACTTATTATTACATTTAAACAAACAGTAAAAATCATAAAAAATTAGTTAACTTTATGACAATAATGTTTCTTAATTTTATTTTTAACTACTCTTCAAATTTCATAAAAAGATTTTTCAAATACAAGAGAATAAAAAAATATTTTTCAGAAATTAAATCAATGGTTCCTTTATTATTAAATATATCTAGAAAGCAAAATTTGTTTAAATTTTATATATATAATTTAGATGCATCAATCATTTGACTTCATATTAACAATTTTATACAAATAATCTGCATGACAAATTGGGTAACTAATATAGAATTAATTTTTTAATTTAAGTAATATTAATAGTAAAACCATATCTCTAACTTTATTTAAACTTTTTTATAAGAAAAAGATTATATTCAAACTTCATATTCTAAAATAATAAGAAAAAAGACTCAAACTAGTTTATCTGTGATCTAAACTAATAATTTAAGTAAATTTATTTATAATATTATACAATATATAGAGCATTCTGTATTAAAAGAGCTCATTTTTACAATTTTTTAAAAAATAAGCTTTTATTAGATTCATGTAAAATTTGATATAACTAATATTTTTTAATTATAAATAAAAATCAATTTGTTTAATAAAAAATTGAAATAATATTAAAGAAAAATTATATAAGACTACTTAAGATTAAACATATCATGAGATTATCTAATAGTCACTTGTTATCTTTAACTAATCAAAATTATAAAATTTGATTAATCCTGGATCAGTCTGAAAATTAAAATAAATGATTAAACTCAATTATCTCAAAATAAGATATATATAAAAATGATACTTTTTAATATAAAACACTCTATATCTTATGTATTGTTCTCATATAATTGATCAATCAAAATTAAAATCTGATATAATATTATACAATCAGATTTGAATCAAAATCCTAACAAACAAAATCCTGACAAGTTATAATTCTAACAAAAAAATTTCAATAGCAAAAATCTTGATAGCAAAAAATCTGACAGTTAAAAATCTGTCAATTAAAATTTTGAGCCAACTCTAGATTAACTTTTATCTAAAATAATCTAACTCTAAAATTAATTAAATTATAAGTAACTACTTCACTTTAAATATACTCTATATTCAGAATTTTTTATTTAAAAATTCTAATTATTAGTATTTTAGATTATTAGAATTTTAACTATTAGGATTTTTGATTATTAAAATTTTGATTGTTAGAATTTTTTTATCAGGATTATAACCTGTTAAGATTGGAATTTTGATCACCACTTATCTAGCTATATTCAAATAACTATATTTAATCCTAGTTTAACTATTCTAATTATTTAAACTAAGATTAAACAAAACAAAAAAACTAAAGTTAAAATATTTGAATCTATATATAGGATTAAAAATTATATACTATATAACTGCAAAATATTAATATATTTCTACTTAATTACTTATTTAAAAATTTTTTATTTCTATTTAAGTTATAAATATTAGCTTTTAAGAAATTTTATAAATATTCTATAAGTTTCTAATATAACAAGTTATCATTTTAAAGCCTTATTTATAGATATACTTTAGGTTTCCAATTTAGAATTAACCTAGTAGCAGTACTATATTAGTTATATTGTTTATAGTTATATTATACCTAAACTTTTTAATATAAAAATATAAATAATACTAATTTTTTAATAAGAAAAAATCAAAATTATTATTTTCAAAAATATCTAATACAAAGTATAAACAAAAAAAAAGAAGATATTTATTGTAAGATATACTAACTAAAAAGTGTTTTTGTTGTTTATTTTGCTTTTTCATTTTTTTACTTGTTTTATTATATACTTGCTATTTTTAAATTTGAATACCAAATATAAAGAGAGTTTATTTTAAAAAATAAAAAGAAAAATAAGATTTGACTTCTATATAAACTATTCAAAATATCTATTTTTTATTTAAAAATTTTATTAAAAATAGTTTGTATATAAAAACTATAAGTAATTTAGATTTCTTAGTTTTGGGTTTTTAACTTGTAGTCAAAAAAAAGTTGGCTCAAATAATTATTAAAAGAAGTTAATTAATTATTTATTAAACTATTAAATATTTAAAAATAATAATAATAAAAATATTATTAATTCTCTTTAACGATCACTTCTACCAAACTTATAATTAATAACTGAAAAATAAAAACTTGTTAAAAAAAATAGAAGAGACAATTATAAAGTAATAGTATTTACAAATATTAAGTTATTTATCTTTTTCTAGACTTTTTTGTATAAATATTCTTGTATAAGATAACTAGCAGGAAGTAGCACTCTTGTATAGAAAATTTTAATAGAAGCATAGCTTTTGCTAATAAACTAAATATTAGTTAGTCTAGAAAGAAAACAACAAATAAGTTTTTTTTAATACACTCTCTATCAAAGTTTAAGATTATCTGCAAATAAAACTTTTTTTACTACTCACTTTATGCTTTTCATAAAATTTTACAAAAAGTAAAAAAAACAGTATATCTCTATTAAAGAATCAATAACAATAATCACTACTAAAAAAATATATATATACACATATATATATTTATTTTAGAATAAATAATATACAATCAATTTTTAACTCTATATAGCAAAAAATTATATATGAATATATTGTAGAAGTTTTGGTAGACTATATAGCCAAAATTTTGAACTTGAATCACTATTCAAGAATAGATAGTTTTAGTAAAGTTTTTATATTTTAGATATAAATATAAATAGCTAATATAGAGTTAAACTAGTTTATTTAGTAGTACTATATAATTTTTATAATCTGGTATAGGTTTAATAATACTATCTTTGTTGATTAATCAAAACTCTTCACTAATCATCAAAACACAAATTTCTGAAAAAATGTAATTTACAAAAACTTCAAAAAACACACAAAAGCTACTAGAAAACCAAACTCAAAGCTCTAAAAAAAAAGAAGAAGACTACAAGAAACACTCAGTCTTTTAGAGACTTGAGTTAGAAGAAACAGAAGTGACAAAGAAATAGAAAAAGTCGTAAAATATCATCAATATTTTTTTGCACTTTGCGAAAAATTGGGGAATTGGTCTTGACTCTGAATCACAGATCTGTTTT